ACCGAAAACTTTCCTTCTCTAAAATTGTCTCCTTTCACCTCCTTTCCTGCTCTCTAGCAATGTTCTATTGTCTGCGTTCGTTTCCACTTTCTGCCCCCACCCCCTCACCTACTTTGCCCCCTCCCCTTGGTTACTGACTCTTTCTGCAGCCTTTCTACTGCTACTCCTTGGCTCCTCCTAACTGCTGTCTTTCTGCCACACCCCTGATCTTCTGGTAGGAAAGATCTACACCTAGCCTTCTTGGACAATGGCGAAAAATCTCGGAGGGTCCGTGTGCAAGTTGCGCACGTTTAAGATCCCTTGGTGGTCTAAAATCGATAAGAGTAGTCTTCGGCCGCCACCCGGGCAAAATTCAAAATTTCCTACCAACTGAAAATATTAGGCGTGTCCCGCGCGCTCATATAACCTTATGCAGTTGCGAGCGCCGTAAAAACACTTACCAAAACAAAACAACAGAGACTGATAAAGGGGGAGGGAAAACAGAGATAGAGAAAGAGAAAGAGAGAGGGAGGGAGAGACAGAGAGAGAGGTGGGGGGGACACAAAACTTTTACACACACATACACTACACACACATACACACTCACACGCACACACACGTACGTACACACACACATACACACACACACACACACACACACACACACACACACATATATACACACGTACACGCACACACAGATACCCACTCCAATAGAGCGGGTTTCCTTATGCCTCGCACCCTCCCTACAACATCACCACATAAAAAAATGTCATATTCATTTTTCGTGAAAAGACTAAATGGAAGGGGGTAAGTTTGGGGGTCATCATCATCATCATCATCATCATCATTAATACTAATGTAATAATCATAAGCATAATCCTTTACCTGTAATTGTAGCAAGTTTTTTGTAACTTACTGATACAATTTAGACCATAATTTGCGAGGCAGCCTACTTCGGCCCTGCTTATGCGTGACAACCTATGATAAGAGGGATACACCATTCCAACACAGATGGAGAGATTTGATAAAAATACAACTCATCCCCCACACACACACCCCCATACCATACACACATACACACATACACACAGACACATTCAGAACCTGACATCGTCTTCAGCATCATCAGCATTTTCAAATTTCTTCCAGTTTTATTGTCCATCCACTTATGCTTCATTCCCACATCCCCCCCACCCTACCCCCCTAACCTCATTCTTCATCCCTTCACTACGCTTAACCCCACTCTTAACCACTCCCCACCCCAACTCATCAGTCCCCAC